TTTGGCATTACTATCTGAAGAGTGCAATAAGCTGCATCCTGATGTCCTTTTCCTGAAAAGTCAAATCCGTTTGATCATTGGCACTCTCAAGAAACATTGCCAAAACAGCACTGTGAAGGATGTTTTAGAAAAATTTCCCTGTCTCAAGTTTGAGAAAGTTGTAAGCTAATAATATTGTTATGCAAACAAACAAGCAAATTGTTTTTTATAAATCTAATTTGTCTACATTTAAATTTAGTTGCTAGAAGCTTCAAATGCTTTGACTAATACAGATATTGATAGAAATTTGTTACGACTTTTAAACAAAATGTGTGAAGGCTTCCAAACTTTAGTGGAATTAAAAATGAGTCTGAAGACTAAATGCAGGTCTCTTTTAATTGATATCAATGAAGAATCAGACGAGAGTAAGTAATATGCGTTATAAGAAAATTCATATATATATATATATATATATATATATATATATATATCTCCGATTCTCCGAATTAAAGCCCCGGTTCTTAGACCAATTTCTATTGATTTATTTGTCGATAAATTACTTGTTGCAACAGACATTCCAGATTTTTCATGTGGTGTCACTATGGTTATGGCGGCATATTTTTTATTTGATATTGCCTATCCTAAGCCGTTGGTAAAAACACTTAATTTTATTGAACACCACATAATATCGGATAAAGTTAAACTTTGTAAAACAGCAAAACAAATATCAAAAATATGCAAACTATAAATTATATGATATAAATTGATATGATATTTAAAAAAGTTATCTGTGTTAAGATTTTGTTTTTCTTAACACTCTACAAATGGGGTATATGGTAACATTACAATTTTAAATTGTGGTTACCGCTAATTAGTTAATTATTCGTTTGAATCCAGGGGGGCGGGTAGTGCACTACTTGATTTTTTGAAAAAATCCTCGATTTCTAAAAAATAGCCAATTTCTGCAAGAAAAAAGGTGGAGGGTGACGGCACGGTTCTCTAAAATCACCCCAGTGCTTTTTCCACGGCAAAATTTAAAATTTTGGTTTTTCAAAAAACTGATTTGAGTTTTTTGAAAAACGCAATATAAGGGATTTTTGAAAAACCAATTTTTTTCGGTTTTTCAAAAATCCGAAAAAGGTTTCAATCTGGCTTCAGCCTGAAAAACCGATTTTGGTTTTTTGCCGCACCGATTTATTTTACAGTGTAGCGATATTTTTAAATTTCTTTGGACACGTTGTTAGTGTCCATCTTTGTATGGGCCTTCGTGTCCTTTAGAACATGTATTTATACTTTGGTCTAATAAATATCAATCAATCAATAAATCTAGCAAAAGTACTACCAAGGCCGGCGCGATAGGAGGGTGGAGAGGGGAGGGAGGTGTAACACCCCCATCAATGACTTTTAGTCGGCAAATGTGACCCTTTTTGACTAGTTAGTCGGCAAATCGCGAGATTAGAATTATTTTGTTCTATCTCCACATTTTTTTGTTTCGAGATAAAACGATTTAAAAAATAAAAACTTTAGGAGACGGCATATAAAAAGATTTTTATTACTTATGTTTTCTCCGAAACTTTTTTGATTTTAGCTTAGGTTTTAATATAGTAGAAAAACATTATTTTGAGGTACATTACACAATTAATAACTCATTTTTTCAAAAAGTGGAGATAGAACAAAATAATTCTAACCTCGCGAAATGTAGACCCTGTCGATAGGTTAGTCGGTAAAGTCAGTCGGCAAATGTCGTTATGGCAGTGGGTAAATTTTAAAAAACGAGGATCTTTTTTTTTATTTTTTATTTTTAGACGACAAAAGTTGTAATGGCAACCCCCCCCCCACGTGACCCTTACTCGTGCCGGCCCTGAGTACTACCAATTATAATCTAGACATTTATAAATTCAAGTCTTATCTAGACAAAAAGCAAAACATAAAAAAATAATTATAAACCAACTCTGAATCAGTAAAAATTGTTTTTGCTTTAAATTTTTATTTTTTAATTGTAACGCTTATATTGCTTACCGCAAAACGGGGTAACTTTGGCCAGCGGATAACTTTGGCCATTCTTTAAAATTTTAGTTGAACAACTTTAACTTTTAAACGGATAAGTAAAATTATAATATTTTTGTTTTATTTGTAAGTAAAGTTCTTCTTGCATAAATTGTTAGGCGAAAAAATTGTTGCAAATGCACTTTAATAAAAGAGAAAAAGAATACAAACTAAATCTAGATAAAATACAACCAAAAAATGAACAACAAAATTTGTCTGGGTTATCATAAAAATTTGAATAAGCAAGTTTTCCATCTATTTAATAGAAAAATGTTCAAATAAGATAAAAACTTTTTTTGGGGCTTAAATACTTTGGGTTTTTACAAGCTTTTCTAAACTTGATTTCTTGTGTGTGTTTGTCCATCCGGTTAGAATCTTTGAAGCTATATTTAACCCACTTCCCGACTAGCTAGAGCTCTGAAACTTTTCAAGTTTCGTCAGTTAAAATTTCTCTCAATTTCAACAAAACAAAAATTTTACCCAAAAAATAAATAGCGACTTTAGTGAGTACTTCAAGAAAAAATTTGTAACGGACAAAAAATATTTCAAATAACTCAGCACGCATATTGAACAGAAATTTAGCATTTTAATTCCATATTTTAAATCGTTTCAAAGATTCTAACCAAACAAATATAAAAAATAAAAAATAATCTACAATTAAAAATGAATTTTTCTAAAAACAACGTTTTTCAAGCGAACTAAAAAGTAGAAAATAATTTTTCTTTAAGCTTGTCAGAATGTCTGATTATATTTCTCTTAAAATGAGGAAAGATTTTGATATACGTAAAATGAAAAACGTTGGGGGCAATTGAAACAATTTATAAAAGAATGTCTACTAGCCAAACTTTAAAAAAGTTTAATTTAGCAAAAAGTATCATCCATAACAATATAACTTCAAAGCATAAAAAATGCATTGGTACAGTTACGGGTATTTGGGAATTTCCATTGGATAAACTTGATGTAAAAATGTTAATTGCTGTTTATTTAAAAGCACAAAACTATACAGTAAAAATAATTTTAAAAAATATCATTGATGATGATTGGGTTTCAAATTTTATTTAGGGTTCTCAGCTAATCAATAGATTTACATCGAGTATTAAAAAAAAATGCAGCTGTAAACAAAGAAGAATTAAAACTTTATTTTGAAAACATTAAACATGAGCTCGAAGAAATTCTGCTTTGTAACATTTGGAACTATGATGAAACCAATTTGCGTGATGACCCTGGACATAAAAAAGTTGTTTTGAAACGTGAAATTAAGTACCCTGAGAAAACAAAGAGCATCAATAAGGTTGGATTTTCTGTGATTTTTTGTAGAAACGAATTTTTGTAGGAGAAATGTTACAAAAATGTTGCGTTAGGAGAGTTTTTAAATTATTCATTTATTTAAAAGAAACTAATGAATAAAAAATGGTCCAAAGAACTCTCACTTTAACAGAACCCAATCTGATTGATTTGATAAAGTCAGTTTTGAGAATTGGTTAATTTGGGCATTATTACCATACGTAATGAAACAAACTGATAAAAAAGTATTAACAGGTAACAATTTCTTCCTTCTATTCAAACTAGCGAACGAAAAATCGACCATTTACGGTGATCGGACTTCTGCGGTTATGGTCTGAAGACTGAAAAACGCTAACCGACAATCACCAACAATCACCGCACACTTCTAACCGCTGTCACCGCCAATGCATTCCAGCGCACCGTAATCACCGACCGCTGCGGTTAACTGATAACCGACCGAAACCGCAGAAGTCCGATCACCGCAATTGGTTGGTTTTTCGTTCCCTAATTCAAACTAACGTTAATAAAAAACATTAATGGAGGTGGTGATGAAAAGAATGTTAGACAAAATACAAAAAAAATCTAAACAAAAAACAACATAAAATTATACCAGAATTTATTCGAGTAAATTATGACAGTGAAAAAGAAACAGCATCTGACAGACAAAGTAAATAGTTGACATCTGAAGGACAAAGTTGACTTTATGTTAGAGGATGCTTACTATTTATATTTATTTCTAATGTTATTTTTTTTTCGCGGTATTTTCTTGAAAATTATGTTACTACAAGGACGGTACCGTAAAAAGTGACATAATTTTAATTTGTTCTCTCTGTAGCTATTATATTATTATAGTTAAACTCGTCATGTAATTGAGAAACCACTTGTTTATAATTAGCATTGATTCTGCTAAATAAAGTTTTTCATTACATTACTTTAACTTTTGAGGCTAGGGTCTCTACAAGTGCCACAAATGAATCTTTTTCAACAGTGCCATATGGTAATATGAAATAAATAACGTCATATGGTAATATGAAATAAATAACGTCATATGGTAATATGAAATAAATAACGTCATATTCAATCAAACCGTCAGTTTTGCTCTGATTTAGCTGTGATTAATTTACTGTTAATTACTGTTGTAGCAAGAATTCTTTTTTTGGAAACAAAAAGGTCTTAACTTGCCGACTTATAAAAATTGCCGAGTATAAAAATCAATTGATTAGGGGAGGGGGTGTTCACACCCTCCACACCCCATATAACCCAACCTTAGATGCAAGTAACACATTTGGCAATAACTTTATCTCCTTGATTTTGTTTTAAGTTCAATTTATAAACTTTTATCATTGGCCATCTTTGATATAATTTAAAAAATAACAATAGAAAAACATAAGCAGCATAGAATAGATAATATATATCCGCAGAGAAAAAAACATTAACTTATGCAAATTATATATATGGTAAAAATAATGTAAATTATGGTACAAATAAAAGAAATTTTAAAGTTTAGTGCAAATATTTTAAATATAATTTTCAAAATTACTTCATTTAAAATCATGATTTTAAATCATTTGTTTTTTAATCTTACCCAACACTGATTGTTTGAAAAAATAAAACGTTATTGTAAAGTTAGATATGACGCTGACGCCTAGTGGGCTAGAATTCACTTTTACTGAAAAAAACTAATTACTAATAAAAAGATTTAAGGACCATTTTTGCAGTGTTTGCTCATTTGAGGTTTTAATGGTGATATTAGTTTTAATTTTCGATTGCTTTTGATACCTAAATTGCTTAGCAACCACATATGTTAATAACCGTAGTAAATTTAAACTGGGCAAATTAATATAATAGCTTTATTGGATTACTCCGAAAATTACCGAACGGAGTCTTTTTTTCTTACTGCAAATGTACTATAGATTTTTTATTTGGTTTATAATGACACCTGAAACGGTTCATTTTGCATAGTTACTAGATTAAGTGATTTTCTTAAAACATCAATTAGATTGATATTAATGTGGCAGTCTAATTGAAAATTCTTTTATATATTTAAAAAAGCAAATTGTTTTTATGCTGTTACGTGGGTTTATTTTATACTTCATGAAACTACTACATAATTTATATAAAAAAGAACCTAAAGCTTAAACCGTTTTGAATATATAAAAGTTTTAGTTAAAAATTATATAAAAGTTTTAGTTAAAAATTATTTTTTAAACCAACATTTATATATTCTAATAATAGTAAAACAAATTTAGCTTCTTTTTCTTTACCATTTTGGCGCAAAAAACATGCAGCAAACAATAGTTCTGAAGATGAAATAGATCAACTAATGGCGCCAATCTTCTTTTCTTTACTTTACTACTTGAAGTATCGAAATTCACCTGTGATCCTGGGTCTGCCAGATACTACAGTTGATATTAGAGCAGTTATCTTTATCAATTGAAGCAGTTAGAAGAATATTCTTATCAATTAGAAATCGAACCGGTTTTTTTTGTAGCCATTGTTTGCTATTCTCGTTGAAACGAGTTTTAGAGCTTTTACATATTTGTCAAAGATTTAATTATGCAATAAAAAAAAAGGTTTTAAAATTAACAACTATTTTATGCTTATTGTAACACAAAATATATTATCAAATGAAAAAAAAAATCGAAAAATTTTAAAAAGAAGCTTTTTATTCTACAGTATAGAAGCATACGGCATACGATAATTATACAAAAATATAGACATTTTATAAAAGCTGAATGTTTAAGGGTTAAACCCAGTGGGCCAGGTGGTTGACAAAAGCAAAAAAATTACATTCTCAAAAATTACATTATTATATACCATTTTATAGGTTAAAGTTTAAGCTATAAAAAGGTATGTAATAATGCAATTTTTGAGAATGTAATTTTTTTACCTTTGTTCACCACAAAAAAAAAAAAAAAAAAAAAAAAGCTTTTTTACATTTTTAAAACTTTAACATGTAACTCTAAAACCTTATAATTTATTATAAATATGCAATAAAAAATTACAACAAAATGAAATATAAATAATCAGTTCATAAGTCCAAGTTCTTTCCAAAGCGTATTTAAAATAATTTCTATTAGCACTGAATTCCATCAAAACAGTTAAACAAATTGTTGACAAAATAAGAAATTTAAAAATAAACAATAATTACTAGCAAATATACATACAGGTTTTAGACACACGCAACCAAAAACAATATTAAAAAACAAAGATATTTTTGATCCCTAAATATATATTCAATTAAATAGAGATTTTTCTTATATCGTTAGCGAAGATCGATTAACTCATCCACTTATTGTAATCAATTTTACAGTAGATAGTAAAAACAAATATAAAAAAAATAATGAGTTCCGAAAAATAAATTGCTGAGACATAATAAAATCGTCTAATCAAATGTAAATATAAGTTTTATACACTTATGTTTTTTTTTTCTTTTTTCTAATGATACCAAAATTTTATTTTTATAAAAAGTGGAAGTCAACACTCCTCACTGCCGATATAACAACTGTGGTTATTTGTGTATTTTTTGTTATTTATATGTACGACAGAAAAAACCTAAAAACCATATACATATAATAAATTATAATTATATTAAAGAAAAATGTTAAAATAGTTTTGTTGTCGTTCAGGAAATAAACTATTACTAACGATAAGCAACATAACAAAAAATCGTACAGATCAAAAGCGTCGTTAAAAAAAAATTCCTTTATTTATATAAAAGCACAGGTTATTTACAATTAATCGTTGACGTATTAGAAGTATTTTTTTTAAAAAAATATAGTTTGAGTTTCGGAATTATGCACGTTTCAATTAAACTGTCATTTGAAAAAAAAGTTGCGAAATAAAAATCTAGAAATCTGCTTGATAACTTCTTGTAACAACTTGTCCTCTCGGTCGTGCTATAGCACTTGGGCTGACACTTCTTCTGGGTTTAGCAACGTTTTCGTCTCTGATTAAAATAATAATATTAATTGAAAAAGAAAGATATTGAGTTAAACTTATGTGTTCAAGCACTATACCTTTTTGGTATCGATCCTGTACTTTTTCTTACATTGGATAAACCTTGCACACGAGATACTTGGGGGGGTTCTAAACTTTTTCTTGGCGCTACCAATGTTTCTGTAGAAACAGGAGTTCCTCTTCGACGTACAGCTATAAAAACAGAACACTTAAAAAATTACATAACAACCCTATTAAACCCCCATTAATTGCATAACAACCCTATTAAACCCCCATTAGATTAAAACACATAAATTAAAAAGTGTTTATAGTTTTTTCCTTTTAGTTCCGATTTTGCAAATGAAGGATTTTAGAGGACATAACTAGAGAACACAATAACTGAACGGCTGTACATATTTTTTCAAAATCTTCTAACAAAGCGAATTATCTAACAAAATGTCGTTTTTAATTCAGTTTCTTTGGCAAGTTTTTTTATTTTTATAGAAAGTTAACTACCGAAAAATTTTATAGAAGGTTGACTACCGAAAAAATTGCACTAAAAAAAATCTGGAGATTTTTTTTAGTGCAATTTTTTCGGTAGTGTTCAATAGTTCGGTAGTGTTCAATAGTTCGGTAGTGTTAATTCGCTAAACTACTAAGCTATCACTTATTCAATAAACCTTTACAGAAATTAAATTTTTTTTTCATAATGCTGCAAGATTATATAAGATATATAAGATTGCCATTAATTTTTACTTTAAAGTAAAATGTGCTGTCACCATTAGTCAGACGCAAAAAATTGTGACAACTTTTATCTGCATAGCCGCATTGTTTGTCAAGGCTTTTTGTTATATGTTTTTACATTTCATAAGGTTTGTTATACGTTTTTACATCTTATAAGGTTTGTTATATATTTTTAAATTTCATAAGGGAGTAACCTGACACTGTTGGCCTTGGAAACAAATGTATGTACAACCCAAACAATGTTTCAAACAAAAAAAGAAAAAGAGTGAAAAGACGAATATTTTTTACCATAATAAATGTCTTTTCATACGTTGATCTTGACAGTCATAAACTCAAATCTTTAGGAAATGTATGTTATGATGTCCTAACAAACAGCTATTTTGTTGAGAGGTCATTAACGATTCCATGCTCAGCTAAAAATGCACTGGTTTTTTATTAAAAAAAAAATTGGATCAATAACTTCCTTATTTATTTCTTGAAAAAAATAAAAAAAATAATTGAGAAACAGAAAAACTGTGAAAAATTCTCGATGAGTACAAAGAAAATAAAGATAAGCAATGTTATATGCAAAAATTGTTAAAAAAAAAAAGTTTTAATATCTACAATTTTTAAATCAAAATCTTGTGTCCTTTTTTTAGTAATAATCAGTTTATAAAATAAGCTGTGATTACCAGGTTTATAAAAGCACTTAAAAATTTGTAAGTCAATATATAAATATGACAGTATTTATGGATAAAACTGAAGAATACAGATTATACATACTAAGTCTTTTTGATTCTTTCATTGAGATCTTGCCAAAACAACATTCAAGTTTGGTCAAGTTTTAATATCTTGAATTATAAGTCATCTGATTGGTCAAATTTTAATATCTTGAATTATAAGTCATCTGATTGGTCAAGTTTTTATATCTTGAATTATAAGTTCTCGTCTGGTATAAACTGGTCAGATTTTAACTGGACATGTGTGCTTATCAAGTCAGAATATTGCATAAAATTTATATTAAAAAGGATGAAAACATTAAAAATGTATTTTAACAGCCTTCACATTAACCTTAACCATATCATGATCTCATTCAATATAAGAATGACCTTGTAAAAGAAATGATACTTTAATAAATCTAAAATATCTAAAAAGTGGACCATCCAATGCAAGAAATGGAACATTTAGATTTTCAAATAAACAAGTTTTTAGTTATTCCGCGAGCATAATGAGAAGACCTAATTCTCTCTATATATTGTTTTGGATAATTTCTCTGTCACTTACTGTTAAATTGTGAGGCCAATTTTTGATAATAGTTTAAATAAAAGATTATTAACATTTTACAATTATAGTTACACAATTTCCTATAAATGAATAAAAATGCTTATGATGACCAGTTTAGACATATTTAAAGCCTTTTTTAAATATTTTGATTTAGTAAAGATAAAGAAAGTGATTAGGATAAAGATACACTGAAAAGTAATAAGTAAAAAAAGTAGTAAGTAAGTAGTAAGTAGCAAATTGTAAGCAACAAAGTGGCAAATAATAGGCATCAATGAATCAATGATAACTTTTACTTCTTTTTAATTTTTTAAATAATTTTTTACTTCTTAATGAAACAAATTTTTTTCTTAACCCATTTCTCATAATTTTATTTATAAAATTAGTCAAACTTTAACAATAAGATTACATAAGTTACCTGAATCATTTACACAACTCTCTGAGACACTTTTATGCATAGTTGAAGGACTACTACTTAATTTTAATTGAGTCATTGAACCACGAGGCTTAACTAAGTTGCTTTCGCTAGCAATTTCGGGATTACGACGTGGAACTATAAAGATTAAAAAAAAAATTAATAATAAACTATAAAAAAAGATAAAAATTGATTGTGTGGTTTTCAAATGACAGAATTATTAAGATAAAAAATTATTTAAGAAAAAAAGAGTTATTAAGATAAAAAATTATTTAAAAAAAAAAATCAAAATACCTGGTTTTGATATACGTGAACCTCGACCTGCATCGTTATCTAAAGAATATTTAATTTTCTAATCAACCGTGGTTTTTTTAACATTAAAAACGTAATACTATCAAATACAAATTGGCATAGCTACTTATTTTAGAATAGAGAAAATTCAAGTCAAACAAGAACTTTTAAAAACAAGTCAAATAAAAACTTTCAGCATATATTTTGTTTTGCTTCATAATGCTTGAAATCATCAGTTGTTAAGCATCACAAGTGAGTCCGGATAGTCAAGTCAATATTTAAATAATAACAGTTAAGAACAACTGAATGTAAAGTAGGTTATATAATTAACAACAAAAAAGTATGAACTTTTTAATAACTGTCTACATTTTGAACAAAATTTTTAAAAATTCTCTTTTTTAGAGTGTTAAGGTAACAAGACCTCTTTTACTAAAAAACCAAACTACTTTTTTTTTTTAAACAAACATTTTCACTTTCAACAAGGCTGCAAGCAACCACTATTAGAGTTAGAAGTCACTGGAAGAGAAAAATTTATTAAGCAAGAAAATGATGAACAGACAACTTAAAATATTGCAAATTATATGAATCAGGAAAGCGCTATAAAACTGCTTGATTCTAAGGGTTTTAGGTTCCTTCAGATTATAATAATATGTATAGGTATGAGCTGGAATGTGTTAAAAATAAAATCCTAACTATTTATTTGTAGTCCAAAATTGATAATTTCCAAAATAGTGTTGAAAAACTTTATTTTTATTATTTTAACTTATCACTTATAAAAAGTGTATAGAAACCTACCCTATGGGCATTTGTTTTTAAAAGTTACGTTCTAAATGCCTTTTAAACATGTTTTAAACATCTTTTAAATTTTCTTTACGTAAGAATGTTTAGAAGACGTTTAAAAGACATTTAAAATACATTTAGAACGTAACTTTTAAAAACAAATGCCCGCTGGGTACATGAAACATTTCATTATCTTTGTCTTCAAAATGTTCTTATAGGTATTATATACTAATGTTCTTATAGGTATTATATACTAATATTCTAATGGTATTATATAATAATACCTTTAATAGTTTCTTAAAGCGGTTGATGATTGATGATAATACCTTTAATAGTTTCTTAAAGCGGTTGATGTTTAGAAATTATAATGAATCCTGAGATTCAGTTTGTTTTTGTTGCTGTAGCCAAACAAACAACTACTCTATTCATATTATATGTCATCATTGTTGACACTAGTTAGAGACTATGTACATGAAGGATTCAGTTTTGATATAAATACATTTACCACTGGACTTTGTTGCCATTGCAAAAAATGCTCTCAATGCTAAAAAAGTTATTATATTTTATTAATTTATTAAATATTTTCTAAAATATTTTACTAAAAATATAAATAATCTTGTTCACAGCAAGGAAAACCTATGAAAATGATTGAAGAGGTTTGGAAAAGTGGAAGAGAGTTAGTAAAGATTGGAAGGGTTGCTCCAACTGACGATCAATGCTTATGTCTAATTTGTACCAGACAAGTGCGGCCAAAAAACTTTTAATCCAAGAGCATAGATCATTGAGTCAAATGAACATTTCTGCATTAAAAATTTAACTATTCTGCACAGATTATTTTTAACTAGTTGGAAAGGGCTTTAGACACCCATGCACCAGAGCTAATACCCTCATAAACATACTTCTTGGCATATCAGTAAGAGATTGTATATATATTTCGTATTCCGAATAAAAATGATGAATATAGCATAAAATAAAGACATCAACTGTTGATAAATGTAGTTATGTGACAGAGTTTGTAGTGGTATAAATATGCTTATTCAACCATATATCATATAAGCATTTAAGTTATATACTATATGAAAATATGTTATAGATGCAAACATTTCATTGACTGTATAACTTGATGGATGTACATGGGTATAAATGCTTTGTATTATATTCAGAGTATATTTATTTAAAATGTTAGCTAATAGAGCTTAATAAACTCTATATTCTATATATAGTTTACTTAGCTGGATTACTTGATAATTTATATATCACTCTTTACACTATGCTGGTATCTTTTCTGGAAACAAGAAAAAATCAGGTAAAATTTTATCATTTTGAATGGTTTCAAGCTAAATTAGATAATGTTGGTATCTTTAAAGATATGTGTTATACCCTTAACACAGCATATTTATCTACCTTAAAGAGAAAATTATATCTTAATTATTACCTAAATTATATTAAAAATAATGATTTGTTGTTTAATTTTCTTACTTACAAGGGAAAAAAAATTTAACTCTTAAGATATAATTTTTTACCTAAAAAAGGTAAAAGATTTTACCTTATATACATCTTATCTTCAACAAAATCGAAGGTTATCTTCAACTAAATCTAAGGTTATCTTTAACAAAATCTAAGGTTATCTTTAACTAAAATAAGATATTTCATGTTAATTATCTAGTTTTTAAGTCAGCTGCAGTGTATGATAATATACTTGACTAATCTAGATGATATACTTGACTTTTATAACTGGTGCCACTACATGGCAAATGTTTCTTTTGCTTTAGAAAGCAATCAAAATTTGCAAACTAAATTTCTTAAAAGTTGTTGCTTGTAACTTGCTATGTTTATGCAAATCGCAAGTTGTTGAAAAGGCATTTTAAATGATTTGTTTATGCCTAATCCACCACATTAAAATAAGATTACTCGTTACTGTCTTATTTAAATATGACTTATCCAACTTAAAACATATGGAAAAAAAAGATATATGTAAGTATGGTAAGTTTATACAGTGGAACCATATTGCTAATATATATTCATGAAGACAGAGAATGTGGCCTTTCTATTTTACCTAAACTTACTTTTAAGCATATAAAGTTGACAAAATATTTATTAAAAAGTATTAACTATGCTGCCTAAGTAATAAGTTTTTGCTGTATTAAAAATTTTATTACATTATGGAATAGCTTATATGAAAATTATTTCCGACACTAACAATCATAAATGTTTTTTAATTAATGTTCTTTATATATCAATTTAGTTTGACTTTTGAATTTTGAAAACTTTCAGGTTATATTTTGCAATTTACAATCTACGAACTTGTATGTAAAATGTTAGATGATCATGCATACTTAGCTGCAAACAAATACAATAAACACTGCTCATTATACAACTTAGACATGTTAGAAAACCAATTGTAAAATTAGAGGTACCAAAAACATTCCCACTAAGTCATAATAGAATGTTTTGTTTAGTAATGTAGAGGGATACATGCTTAAATGTTATAATATTATTGATAAAAGAGGTACCAGTCAGATAAACAAAGACAAGATTTGCTACTTCAAAACATGAAAGAAATTGTTTTTTCAGAAAAGGTTTTGTAGAATATTTTCTAAAAAAAAAAATTTCTTTCATGTTTTGAAAGCATTCATGTTTTGAATGCTACTTCATGTTCTTTCATGTTTTGAAGTAGCATAAGGAGTGATTAATCAGCGATAAAAAATTTCAGCATTTCAATCAAATGAATCAGTTACATTTTTACTAGGAACTAAGCTGTAATGACTTCTTCTTGAAAAAATTGAAATATTTATACTTGATTTTAAACTTTTAATGTCAGCTTGTAGCAAAATACCATTTATCTTAAGCAAGCTTTACTGCAATCTTGATTAAATAATTATAAAATCTAATAGGATGAAGAATAATCTTTGCTAAATGCTTATCGGTAATCTTGTCCTTGTGCTTGGCATTGAGGTGACGAGTCACCGTGTGATATACATCGCTTCTTGCAAAACAAACACATAAATATTCTTTCTTTACTTTGGTTAGGATTAGTGCTTCCAATACCGATACCATTTTTCAATACCGGTTTTTCGGTATTGAATAATTTCAATACCAGTAATACCGGTATTATATCGGTATTAAACTTTTTTTTAAATTTATCATAATATGAATAAAATCTCAAGCTTATTTATTTTATATCAAAATAACTAACTTTTTCATTTTTCGCTTTTTTCTCCTTTGTAAAATGAACCCTTAAAAAACGTTTAGAGTATCATCCTCAATAGATGATCTAATTTTGTGATAATATTGCCACTCGCTGAAAATCTACGCTCCAATTCAACATAAAATGTCAACAATTTTTAACTTAAATCAATGCATTTTTCAGCAGGCGACGAACCAACATCTCTTGCTAATCCAAGATTCCAACATAAAGGGTGTTCAATCTAGAAAAACTTATCAACAAATTGCTGCATTGATTTTGTAAGAAACCGGTGATCAGAGGGTTGGATTTTTCCTCCGTTGATAACGGTGCCAATAAAAAAAAAAACGATGATGATGCTGCATCTTGGGACAATTTCCTATTCACCAAGTCAATTTCATGTTTAGTTTTTAGATGTGTATTCAGTACACTGGTACTCCACCATTTGATTTTATCTCTTTTTTGCACTTCTTACACATTGCAAGTTAGTTTTCTTTATCAAGCAGAAAGTAAAACCATGCAGAACTTTCATCAACTGTACAGTGCTGAACGGTTTCAATACTTTTTAGGATGTTTTATGTTTTTCTGGATATTAATGTTATTCTATCTCTTAGACATAAAATCTTGATTTTTAGTTCTTAATTCAAAATGCTTAATGCATTTTGAATTAAGAACTAAAAAGTTAAGTAAGCGTAACTATAATTGCTGTTAATTCTATAACTTTACATTTATAAGTTACACCATGAAAAACAATTAATAATCTATCATCTTGACATTTTTACTAAATTAAAAATGTTCTCAACTGTAATGAATTCAAACTTTTCATATTTACGTTAGTGCAAAACTCAAACATGGGATCTACATTAAAGCAAGTGACATAATGATAATATTTTAAATCATTGCTTTATTAATAGAAGGAAGACAAAATTTTACTTTGAAATTAAACAAGTTTTATTTTTAACTAAATATTTTTAACAATAGTTTTTTTTATAAAAATTCAATTAAACAACTTATTATTTTCTTCATTCCAAACTCTTTAGCGAGCCTGATTTTATACTCTCATTACAAGATGAACAAG